GGAACACTTTTGAGAAACAAGATGGTGCTGGGATTACTTAAACCTACTTGAGAACCTGGTTTTGCTGACATGACTATGATAGTCACACTAACGTAAAATTGGCTAAAGTATTTTCTGACTAGGCCTAACTCACATCTATACCGTTGCAGGTAAACACGCATGATGATCATAGAAGCTAAAGGTACAGTGTTGAACTTCGGAGGAGAGCTGCAAAAACCCTTTTACAAAACAGGCTAGGAACCTGGTTCCTGCACCACAGGTTAGTAGTAATGTGATTTTCGCATGCTTGTTCAAAAAAATATAGCAAAATTAATTCAACTGCCACATCATCCGACTTTTCAGACCAGCAGTTCTAAACCATTGTCTCCCTTTGCATCTTTTTAATATTTCCTTCAGAACTCTCTACCACTTCTCTCACTATGGCCAACGAATAATCGTCTTTTTCTCTTGCCATCAACATCACTCCCATATCTCCTCTGACCATAACACCATCACCAGAAACCCACTTCTTCACTATCCCTGATACTACTGTACACATACAGATTTCCTCCTCATCTCCAGTCACCTCTACTCTTCTCCAGTCACCTCATCTCCAGTCTCACTTCCATGTGCTGCAAACCCTACTTCTCCTCTATTCCTGAATCTCAGGGGGAAGAAACTCCATTCTTAGGGGATGAAAGAACTCTGGTGCTTTTTGAGTCTCCGGTTCATGACACTGTCATAGAAGAATCTGTTGAAGAACCTGATTCTCTTTTAGCTGCAACAAACCAAGTGGTTGTAAAAGAAAGAGGCTTTTGAGTCTGCCTTGCAGAAGAGTAAGCAGAGTATTAAGAAAAAGGAAAAAGAGGTTGATGAAATAAGGGGAAGCTGCGGTTGATAAACATATTCCAGTGGTTGAGGTTGATAAAGATGTTGTGGAGGAACCTCGTTCCTTAGTGGAAATATCTACAAAAGGTTGTGGCTGAGAAAGATTTGTTTGAGGGTGACATTGTGGTTGTTGCAAGCAGGAATGGGCAGTTTATTGAAATATCTAGAAAACAAAAGTGGGAAACTGTGGGAGGACCTGGTTCAATGAAGACCATTCTAAGTGACAGTGGCCTTGGGCAGGAGAGTTAACTCAGAAAACGTCTTGTGGGGTCAAATGTTTTCCCGACAATCTAGGAGATGGCAGGTATGAGACATGTTCTGGACTTAGGCAACTAGTGGAGAACCTGCGGGAGAAACTGCTTGACTAACCGTTGTCTGCAACTACCCGCATGGACCTAGCTCTCAAAACCATTGCTGCCTCCTCTTCCAAGCCTCCCTCTTCTAGTACCCCTTAGGATCCTCTCAGTGGCCAGTTATATTTTGCTCTGATGATTTTGTGGCTGTTGTTTTTATTTTTGGTTTGTCTTTTTGTGATGGCATGTTGGATTTCACCGTTGCTGCTCCTGTTGAAACAGTCAAATTTCTTATCCATAAAACAGCTCTTCTTTTGCTTGTACAATGCTTGTTTTCCCTTTTGCATCTCTTTTCTATCATGATTGTGTGCACATATGTGGCATGAGTTAGCCTTGTTGGACTTCTTTATGCCTTTTTGTCTGATTGTGTCTTTTTGTTGATGCCAAAAGGGGGAAGAATAGAGTCAGGAGGAACATATATCGGGAGGAAGAATAGAGTCAGGGGGAACATATGTAGTTGCTGGTACCTTATCTGGTTAAGTCACATAGTCATCATTGTTAAAAGTTTATCATCATCAAAAAAAGGGGAAATTGATGGGCTTAAGGTCTTTTAATCTATGTTTTGATGATCTAACAAACTCTCTGTATAGAACCAGATAAAAGACCAAGAATGATAGTAAAGTGTCAGGGGAACATATGGGAAACATGTGTAAGTAAGAACATATGGGGAAACATGTGTAAGTAAGGGCATAAAGTCAGGGGGAACCTGTGGTCTCCTGTTATTCAATCTAGTTCTCTAAACTCTAACTCCTCGTTTTCAATGCTAAGTTTGTCGTCATCAAAAAGGGGGAAATTGATAGGTTTTCAATATATTTGCCTTGTGTTTTGATGATCTAACAAACTTAATGTCAAGAACCAGATAGGGAACCTGACTCACTTGGATTACACTGCATCTAACGGATTCCAGCCAAATGTGAACTTGCTACAACTTCAGGAGGTAGGAACCCAGACAAGGACCTGATACTCTTGTGGGTTCCTCACGGCAGTACAAAGTCAATTGGACACAGCTGGAAATGAAGATTCTGCCGCACTGCACTGTTTCTAGAGCCCACTCATTCTCTGACCCTCTTGTGGGTTCCTCACGGCAGTACAAAGTCAATTGGACACAGCTGGAAACGAAGATTTTACCGCACTGCACTGTTTCCAGAGCCCACTCGTTCTCTGACCAACTAAAGTGCTCACGTCACTTCAAGTGATGTAATCAAGGTGTACCTACAATGAGTTTGTACAAAACACCATTCAGTTGACTCAACTCAAGACAATCTGGGCAGTGTGCACAAGAACCAGATCAGGAACTGATCCCTTGGTGCTCCCCTGACAGAAGTACAAGTCAACTATACAGCTGGAACGCAACTGCAGAAAGTGACTGTCCGCAACTGTACAAAGAGGAACACAACAGGGACCTGGTCCCTTAGGGTTCTCTGACAGAAGTGCAAGCCAACTACAGCTGGAAAGCAATTGCAGAAAGTGATTGCCTGCAACAGTGCAGCAGATAGTGCAGCAACCACTTTCCATTTAGATTTGATATCACCATTGAGATTGGACATCACTAAGGATGTCTTGTGTAGTATAAACCTTATGCAAGGTACAAGATTCAGGTTTAACACTTGCAAATACAAAAAAACGAATATTCTTTCAAGTGTTCAAGAACCTCTCTCAAGAACAAAGTTGCTGCAACCTCAAGGACCTGATCCGAAATTGATGATATCTTAAGTCCTTAGGGTTGTTGAGTCTTTGTTATGTATTCTTCATTGTAACTCCTATCCAGCTTTCTTAGAAGCATTGATTAGGTTGAGTCATAAGAAAAATCCTTTGTAATCTTAGTGTGACAAAGTGGCTTGTGGTGGAAATACCACAAGTTAGTCAAATTCTTTGTAACTAGGATAGTTATAGAGTGGCTTGTGATGAGAGCACCACAAGTTAGTTGAAGTCTTTGCAATAGAGTTACTGTAAAGTGGCTTGTAATAGGCAGATTTCAAGTTAGTGAAGTTAAAAGCCTACAGGTGTAGGTCGTGGTTTTTTGATCCCCTTGTGTGGGATTTTTCCACTTAAAAAAATCCACGGCCTTATTTACATTCAGCTTTACTAGCATTCACTCGAGAACCCGATAAAGGACCAGGTACTCTGCTATTTGGTGGACTCACACAAACTTAACATTGTACCAAACTGATAAAGGACCAGATCCCTATACAGTTTGGTTCATCAGTACTTTCAGAGGAAACACATAGAGAACCCGGTTCTCTATACAGTCTGGTGGACGCACAGTCTCTAACAGTATGTGACAGCGGGAAACAATTTATCGGCAACGAAGTGACCAAGTTTCTCGAAAATCATAAGATTAAAGAAGCTTATTGACACCTTATCACCCTAGTGGGTGCGGACAAGCCGAATCGACCAACAAAACTATAATCCAAAATATTAGGAAAAGGTTAACCGACACCAATGGAAAATGGAACAAGATCCTTCCCAAAGTCTTTTAGGCATATCGCACGACCTCGAAGTCCAGTACCGGGGCTTGATAGAATATAAGGGTCCACCAAACTCTTTACAGAACCAGGTTCTCTATCAGATTCAACAGTACACACACACAACAGTAGATAAATGACAAGAGGAATTTTACGTGGAAAATTCCCAGCTCAACGGGATTAAAAACCACGACCTACCCTTGTAGGATTTCAACTTCACTACTGAGCAACTTTTAGATTACAACCTATGCAACCTTGGAATTAAACTATTAATCCCTCACTAACTTGTAATACTCTATTACAAGCCACTTTGTAATAACTCTATTACAAAGACTTTGCAACTTGAATAACTCTAGCCAAAACTTAAACACGCAGGTTTAAGGTTTACAAGGGTTTCCTACTGAAAGCTTCTAAACAAGCTAGATAGGAATTACAATTGAAGAACTATTACAAAGTTACAACTCAACTAAGGACATATAATGACTTGATGTGGGGACTGGTCCGTAGTTGATTTGTTCTTTGTTCTTGTAGCACTTGAAACTTGCTTGCTGAATAGTCACGTTAGTGAGCTTCTGAAAAGTTCAAGTAAATGTGTTTTACCTCCCTTGATTGTATATATACATGTGTGACATCACTTACAATGATGTAAGCAAGGTAGGTAAAAAGTCTTCCCTGGAAAGTTGACTGCAACACTGTTCCTGCACTGTAGCGTGTGTAGGCAGCAACTTTTCAGCTGGAAAGTTGACTTCGTACAGTCTCCTCGGGAACTGGTAGGGACCTGTTCCCTCAACTGTTCCTTCCACTCTGAAGAGTTGAATCATAACGCAAGCTGGATCCCAACCTGGAACCCCGTGATCTTAAGGTCTTGTAAATGTGTAACAAGTTCCTTATCTGGTTCTGGATAGTAAGTTTGTTAGATCATCAAAACATAAAGCAAAGTACTTATGACCAAAGTACTTGTAACCTATCAATTTTCCCTTTTTGATGATGACAAAATCATAATTAAAAAACCCAGAAAGAACCACATAGAACTAGATTGTGAACCAGAAAGACCTTAAGTTTCCCCCTGAAACTCTGCATTCCCCCTTAATTAGTACCTGAACCTCTATGAGTTCCCCCTCGAATTGAGTACCCCCCCCCCCGTTCCAGATTATTATTCATTTATGCTCTTTATTATTCAATTAAATCTTCCTCTTTATGGTATCATAAAAAGCACAGAACAAGTAAGTATCATAAAGAAGTCTAGCGTAGCTAACTCATGCCACTTGTGTGCACACAACATGATAGAAAACAGTAACAAAATAGCAGCAACATAAACAGCAAAAAGGAAATCACTTTCATTAGCCAGATTTGGACTTTTACAGGCGGGAGCAGAATCATTGTTTTCATCCATAGTTTAAAACAAACAAAAAACAATTGCCAGAAACAAACAAAAAATACATCACCAAACACAACTTAAGAAGATGGACACTGATGGGACATTCTTTTGGGGACACTGGAGGAAGAGGGCTTGGAAGAGGCAGCAAGGGTTTGGAGAACAAGATCCATGCGAGCATTCGTGGACATTTGCTCATTGAGCAATCTTTCTTTCAGGTCCTACACCTGTTTTCTAAGTTCAGTATTCTCCTTTGTTAGGCGTGCAACTTCTGAGCTATGAGAACTACTAGAACCAGGTGCCTCTTGTAACTGACTGAGCTGACTCTCAAGAATTTCGTTCCTAGCCTTCAACTTCCTGATCCCCTCTGTGGTACTGTTCTGAGCATTTATCAGTTGAGAAATAGTGGAAGTGCTTTCAACTCCTCCCCGACCTTGTCAATGCACTCACACTCCTCAAGAGTAGTTTCTGAAAAGGATTGCTTTTTAGTGCCCACTTTGGCCTGTCCCAGAGGTACCTTGAAGAACTCAAGACCTTTGTGAGAAGAAAAACATAGGGTAGTCAAGGATTCCCATCCTTAAGGTTTTCTATCTTCTGCATATAATCAATCATTATGGCAGGCAAATTGATGGTGGTAAAATTATCCAAGGCTTCCATAAGGAATAGGTCAGCTTTGGATGCAACAGATCTTCTCTCAGCGCCCGGAAGCAACACTTTGTTAACCATCTCAAAGAGCAACTGATATACTGGAAGGAGTGCCTTCTTATGCACCTATTCCCCATGCTGTATTGCCTTGTCCTTGACAATGACATTTCTGAAGTTTGATGTACAGGAACCCTGAGCAGACGACAGTCCTTCGGCAGGAACATCCAGAATTGACCCCAATAAGGCAGAGTCCATCACTATGTCCACCCCATTTATCAACACACAGATTTGATCACCTTCTACTGTGAAGAGGCTGGTATAGAAACTCCGTACCACTTCTTCATACACTTTGGGAACCTCATTTCTAAACAGATTGGTCCATTGTTGAGAATCACAAATGTCCATTAATTGTCTCATCCCAGCAAAAACTAGAATGTTAGAGGCAAATGTGCGAGCCCACAGTACTTTCTGATTTCTCAACTTCCTTTTCTCAGAACTCGGAGACTCACTAACTTTTGCTTTTTTGATGGAACCAGGTTCCTCATCATCATCCATTTCTCTTTTTACTGACTTGCGAACAGACTTTCCCTTCTCCATTGACTTTTTCTGCACAAGTTCACCAGATTTTTCAACTTTTTCATTATCAGACGCGTCACCACTCTCTTTCACTGTCTTATCACCAGAAATTTTCACCAACTTTTCACTGGAAGTAGCATTAGCACTCTTGGAAGGACCTTCAGCATGTGTAGAAGTGTGCCTTATTGATTGAGAATGAGAGTGCTTCTGCTTTGAGAACTTGTGGGTTAAGGAACTAGGTTCCTCTTCAGCTTCCTCATCCACATTTACCACAGGGACGACCTTTTCATGCACAACTTTTCCATCCTTTACCAGCCTTTTCTTTCTCTTGCTCCTTTGACTCTTCTTGAGAGTAGACTCCCAAGCCTCCCTTTGCTGCAACCGAGTAATGGGTCGCTTAGGGGTTGACTCTGGAGCTGCAACTGACTTATTCCTAGCCCTGATAAAACTAACATATGCCAAATCATCTGCGTCTTCTTCACTATTAGAATTCGTCTCAGGCACCACCATATTCAGAGGCTCAGCATAGAAGTGGGGAGAAGGAGCAGGATTAACACTGGCCTGGGGAGATGACCCCTGACCTGGATCCTCCTTGGAGGGATCAGGTTCATCACTTGGGACCCCAGTAGTTTCATCTTGAGTAGATTGTTCAAAAAGAACAAGTTCTCCCCAGTCTTCTGTGGACTGAAGCTCTTCCCCGTGAAACTCACGACACATCTCCACCTTCCTCTACAACAATCCCTTCTGAAGCAATGGAAAGCATATTTTCTAGCCCCTCTCTTTCTTGTGGTTTCATGGAAATTTCAGCAGAGGGAGTGATACCTGTATAACCGTGGCCTGTCATGGTTGTCTCAGTCTCTTCATGACTAATCACTGGATCTTCACTCGAGTGCCCAACCATGGAGAGAGTTGAAGATTCCTGAACGAGGTTCCCTCGTTTACCCTGTTTACTTTGTTTAACCGGTGAGACTGGAGGAGGACAGACATTCTTAGCCTTGCTTAGACAAGGAACAGAGTCGGAGTGGGTAGGAGAGGGAGTGGAGTGTGGAGGAGACTCTGCTTTAGGGTTTAGACTAGTGATTGTGTTGGGGGAGGAGTTCACCGCTGGAATGCTGACTGGTGAGGACTCAATCACATTGTTGTCAGGCACACTGGAGGTTGCTTGATTTTCAAACATGGTGAGATTGTACTCGAGGGGAGTCCTACTTTAGATACAATTCCACAAAAGGTAAGAAATCTCATGGTTTGCTAATTATTCGGCCGCTCGTTGATACGTGGCGAGATTCCCACAGTGATATGCGCCGGTTACGGATATTTTGGTCTTCCGTCATTCGGTCCGATAATATTTCCTTGAGCTTGGTCGGAGTTGGGGTCAGTTCCGGAGCTATGGGCTCGATGATCTTGAAGACGCATGCTCTAACTTCGTATCTTGGCTCGATACAATCCGGTGTCGATCTTTAACCCATCCTATTTCAACCCCGGTCTGTCTTGCAATAGATGAGTCCGGTTTCAACCGTATACACATTGCAATACTTTTATTTTGGGTTAAAATATCTTTTAAGTTGTAAGCTTTGTTTGGCAAACGTAAATTTCCCTTTTCTTTTTTTTTTGTACGGAAAAGTTGGCAAATGATGAAATAGGAAATTTGAATTTTTCATGAAATATTGGTATTGGCAGAAAAAAGTTGGAACTAAGAAGAAACAATATACACATTGCGAAACATAATAGTCCATTAGAACAAATGAAAAAGTAATCACTTTCTTGTTTAGGTTTGCGAAAGACTCTCAGTTGAAATACGAGAGGATGTGATTTGAGAAACTTGGTGAAAGAGCTCTAGAATTGGAGAGGCACGTCTCCCTATTTACAGATACCCGAGGTATGTGCAAATTCTCAACTTAGGTGTGTGTAAACATCATTTTTGGCGTGAAAAAAAAGAAAGGACCTGTACTACGTGTTCAGATTAATGAAACTGAAAATTTTAAGTGTGTGTAAAAAGGTGTGAGCAAGCCTGAGTTTAACAATTTCTTACCCGTGGGCTAACGACTGCTTCCAACTTCACGAGTTATCAGGGGCGGAGTCGATGAAGAAGTTATGGGTTCACCTGAACCCAGTAACTACGGCTTAGGCTCTGTATAGGTGTTAAAAATCCAGCTAAATAAGTTGCAAAAATAGATTTTGAACCCAGTAAATTAGATGCAATATGGTAAAATATCGAATTTGAACCCATAAACTTCAAATCCTGGATCTGCCTATGCGAGTTATCATAAGAAATGGTAAAGAAAACAGGGGTTAGAACCTAGGGTGAATTGTTGATGAAAGGAGTTACTTTGGTAAGAACCAAATTGAGTAGAAATTCATACTAATCAAACATAGTTAGGTGAGTAAAAGGTACAAAAGATACATTTACTGATTTGGTACAAGCACCAGCACAAGTAAACTTTTGATTTGCAATGTTTTCTTCTTTATGAATTCTAGTACGCAAGAGATTAATCAAACCACCTAGTAATAACATGTGCCAATGCTTTCATACGAAAGATCTGAGATAATGCTGGCATGATTCTATAATTGGCCGCTGTCAGTGATAACATATTATTAGAATAAAGATAATCACAAAAGAATCAAGGGGTAAGTAAGATGCTATGTACTCACAGGGAATGATTGTGACATAGTGAGAATAACATATTCCTTAAATGAGCGTCCAAATTTTTTGACCTTAGCCTCAGTCAAGGAAAACTTCTTTTTTCTACCGTTTTGAACCTCAACAAGCTTAGCTACCCTCATTTCTATGAAGCAGCACATATGATAGCCACCTTGCAAGGTTTCAATATGGTGAGATTTTTGTTCCTCTTTCAAAAAATGTCAAAAACCGGACTTGCAAATTTGAATCATAGTTGAGAGTCCAATTAATAACCCCAACGTTCACTGGGTGCAAATTTTTGTCAAGCTCCACATTGTGACAACTTCTCTGATGCTTTGCAGCCACGAAATTGATTAATCAACTGGAGTTCTCTTCTCAAACATCAATGCCCTGTGGCGCTAATCTATGCTATGTGTTGTATGGTGCCTCTAAAAGAGAAGAAGGCCATATTTCATTAGATTCACACGCTAGTCCTGGCAATTTGGGCTGAATTGTTGGGATTCTTCTACCACCTATGATTGTCTTCAAGAAAGATATATTGCCGTCAGGTTTAGACCTTCGATTAGTGCACCTCAGCCAGTGAAGAACTAAGGTCTTCCCGCGATTGTGATCTCCTGCTTTGGAGACGCTGGTGACTTCTGTGTGGGGGCCAAAATGAGCCCATGGTACTGTTGGGAAGACTGTCAAGCTAATAGAAGGGAAAAATATTTAAAAGAGAAAAACACAAATTGCACAAGACAAGATAAGATTTACGTGGTTCGGCAATTTTTGCCTACTCCACGGCCACACAAAGAATAGCTCGTTCTTAATTGAAGAGAGAAAGAAGAAGTTGAGGGATGATCTGCAAATGTAAATGCAGACCCCTTTTATAGGCATTTGAATGCCCTGCCGACATATGCGCTTACATCATAAGAATGTCGACGTAAGCGCTTACATCATATTTTCATCTCTTTTTTACTTTTCTTTCTTTTATTTTGTCTACTTTTCTTTCTTTCACATACAACAACAGGTTTTCTCCTATCAATCTCCCCCTCAAACCTATGTTACATCAAGAAAGAAATTAAAAAAAGATTTGCTATTCTCTGGTGGCGCCTTCACGCCATCAGTCTTGAAGGCTAACTGAGGCAGTGCAAACCCTCAATTTGTCAACACCGATAACTTTGGTCAACATGTCTGACGAGTTCTTTGATCCTGGTATCTTCTGCAGGGAAAGAGCTTCTTCACTTATCAACTCTCGGATATGATGATACCTCAACTGGATATGCTTTGATCTTGCATGAAACACTAGATTCTTGGCAAGATGAATTGCACTCTGGCTATCGCTGAAAAGCTCACAATTGTCCTACTCTTTACCTAGCACTTAAAGGAAATTCTTGAGCCAAATCATCTCTTTTCCAGCTTCTAAGATTGCCATGTACTCTACTTCAATGGTAGATAGAGCAACACTTTTCTGAAGTCTGGACATCCAGGTGACAGCAGTACCACCCTAGGTGAACACGTAGCCTGTGGTACTTTTTCGACTATCCAGATCGCCGCCTAAATTTGCATCAGCAAAACCTTGTAAGATAATATTGCTCTTTTTAAAAGCAAAGTGACATGCCTGAGGTGCCTTTGAGATATCGCAATATCCATTTTACACCTTCCCAATGCTCTTTTCTTGGATCTGACTTGTATCTACTGACAACTCCAACTACATGGGCAATGTCAGGTCTAGTGCAAACCATAGCATACATCAAGCTTCCTACTGCAAAAGCATATGGAACTTTAAACATGCACTTCCTTCCTTCATCTATCTTAGGTGATTGGTCCTTCGACATGTTAAGATGGCTTCCGAGTGGAGTGCTTCTGGTCTTTGCATCATGAAGACTAAACCTGCTTAGTACCTTCTGTATGTACTTTTCTTGAGACAACTTTAAGGTTCCTTCCAACCTGTTTCTAGTAATCCTCATCCCAAGCATTTGCTTAGCTGGTACAAAGTCTTTCATTTCAAACTCCTCCGCCAGTTGTTGCTTAACCAAGTTGATCTCATTTATGCTAAATCCTACAACTAGCATATCATCAACGTACAACAATAAAATGATATAGGATTCATCAAGATTTTTGATATAACAGCAATGGTCCATAACACATCATGTAAAACCATTGGTATGCATGAATCCATCAAATTTTTTGTACCATTGTCGGGGAGCTTGTTTCAAACCATACATACTCTTCTTCAACTTGCACACAAGGTTTTCTTTACCAGAAACTTGAAAACTTTCAGGTTGCTTCATGTAGATGTCTTCTTCAAGGTCATCATACAAGAAAGTAGTTTTAACATCTAGCTGCTCCAAATGCAAATTTTCTGCAGCTACGATACTTAGCACCAACCTGATAGTAGTTAATTTGACTACACGAGAGAAGATCTCGGTGTAGTCAATTCCTTCCTTCTGCTGAAAGCCTTTTACTACTAATCGTGCTTTGTATCTCTTCTTACCATCATGCTCTTCCTTAACTCTATATACCCACTTGTTCTGCAATGCCTTCTTTCCTTTTGGTAACTCTGAAAGTATTCATGTTTCATTCTTTTGAAGAGAGTTCATCTCTTCTTTCATGGCTAGCTTCCACTTATCAGAGTCTATCACCTGCAGTGCTTCAACAAAATGCTCTGATTCTCCAGCATCAGTCAGAAGTAAATAGTAAAGAGAGACAATTAACCCATCTAGAGCATTCGTGACTCTTTTAGATCTCCTTAATGTAGGTTCAAGAGTAACTAATCCCGAATTTGATTCAAGTCCCCACTCCAGATTTGGTTCTGCATTTGATTCTATCTCTGGTTCCGATTCTAGTTCTGATCCAGATTCGGATTCTGGTTCTTCATCTTCAATTTTTGAATCGGTTTTAATCCCTCTAGCCACTTCATTTTTGAGATTTCTTCTAACTCAACTGTTTCAAATGTATGTTTGCTGGTGCTGGTTGGTTCTACTTCAAGCTTATCCTTGTAGATCACATTTTCATCAAAAGTGACATTCCTATGTCTTAGGATCTTTCTATTCTGATCATCCCAAAATCGATAACCAAAATTATCATCACCATAGCCAATAAAGAAACATTTCTTGGCTTTAGGATCAAGCTTATCTCTATCATTAGAGTTTACATGCACATAAGCAACACTACCAAAAAATTTTAGATGTGAGAGAGTTACCTCCTTTCCTGTCCATACCTCCTCAGGAATTTCAAAATTCAGCAGTACAGAGGGTCCCCTGTTTATGAGGTAAGTTGTCGTGTTAACAGCCTCAGCCCAAATATACTTTGGTAATCCAGAATGTACTCTCATACTTCTGGCTCGTTCATCCTCTTAGCAACACCATTTTGTTCTGGTGTTTCGAAAACTGTCTTGATCATTCTGATTCCATTCTCCGAGTAGAATGCTTTGAACTCTTGGCTATCATACTCTCATCCATTGTCAGGCTTCAGACATTTTAACTTTAGACATGTCTGATTTACAACTTCAGCTTTCCATCTTTTAAATGTAACAAACACATCAAATTTACTTTTCAGAAAATAAACCCATAACCTTTCTTGTGGAATCATCAATGAAGGTGATAATAGCATGAGCCTCCCACAGAAGTTACAGGAGATGGTCCCCACACATCTGTATGCACTAGTTCCAGCTTCTCTTTCATTGGCGTCCTTCCCACCTTTGAGAAACTAACTCTCTTTTGTTTCCCGTAAATGCAATCTTCGCACAAATCTAATTCAACGTGCTTTAGGTTTGGCAACTTTTTTTTGGATGCCAACAACTTCATTCCCTTTTCACTCATATGTCTAAGCCTCCGGCGCCACAATGTTGTATCACGACCATGATCAACTATTGCTATAGTATCTCTCTGTATTGCAGTTGCATACAGTGTTCCCTTCTTGAAGCCTCATGCCACAACCAAATTTCTTTTGGTTATCTTCCACTATCTGTTACCGAATGTTTGTTGTTGTATATCCTTCACTGTCAATCTAACCCACAGATATCAGATTTTTCTTGAGGCCAGGAATATGTCGGACATTTTGCAATTTCGATAAAGTGCATTGTGAAGTCTTTATATGAACTTCACATTTCCCAACAATGTCTAGAGGTTCGCCGTCTGTTAGATAAACTTTCCCGAATTTTCCAGCAATATAATTATGCAATAATTCTTTACATGATGTAGAGTGAAAGGATGCACCTAAGTCCAGAATCCAAGATTCGACTGGACTATCTACACAACAAATTAGTGCATCACCGACTTATTCGGCAATTACATTTGCTGAATTTTCGTCCTTCTTCTTCTTCTTTGGTTCTCTATACTAACTACTGTATTGATCCTTTTTATCACAATTCCAACAAGTAATGTCCTTATGATTTTTGAATTGCCCTCTTCTCCTTGACTTTGATCTACCACGACCATGACTTTATCATCTTTGGTTTCTTCTCCCCCTGCTTTTAATATTAAAAGCAGATTCTGGGGAATCACTTGATTCTCTTCAGTGAATATCTTCGCTTAGAACCAAGTCTCTAATTTCATTCAATTTGAGTTTGGTACTTCCCGATGAACTGCTAACTGCAGTTACTGTTGCAGACCAACTCTCTGGTAGAGATGATAGTAGAATCAATGCCCTGATTTCGTCATCAAATGTTATATTAACAAAACTCAATTGAGTTAATATTATATTAAACACATTGATATGTTCTGTGACAGATCCACCTTCTGTCATCTTTAAGTTGAAAAATCGACGCATCAAATAGACTTTATTTGAAGCAGATGGCTTCTTGTACATATTTTGATAACGCATTCATCAGACCTGCAGTGGTCTTCTCGTTAATGATGTTAAACGCCACATTTCGTGTTAGCGTCAAACGAATCACACCAAGAGCTTGGCGATCTAATAGATCCTAATCTGCTTTGGCCATAGTCTCTGGTTTTATATCAGGTAGAGGTAAGTGTAGTTTTTTCTGGTACAAATAATCCTCTATTTGCATTTTTCAGAATCCAAAATCTTTGCCATTGAACTTGTCAATCTTAATATTCCCTTCTTCCGATGCCATTTTTCACAAAAAAAAAATATGTGAATAGTAACGATGATTAATAGTGTCGCACTATTCTTGTGAATAGTACCTGCACCAATACCGTACTTTTCTACCAGAACTACACTGTCTGTGCTCTAATACCAGTTGTTGGGAAGTGTGTCATGCTAATAGAAGGAAAAAATATTTAAAAGAGAAAAGCAATAAATTGCACAAGACAAGGTTTACGTGGTTCGGCAATTTTTGCCTACTCCACGACCACACAAAGAATAGCTCTTTATTAATAGAAGAGAGAAAGAAGAAGTTGAGGGATGATCTGCAAATGATAATGCAGACCCCTTTTATAGGCCTTTGAGTGCCCTGCCGACATAAGCGCTTACATCGTAGGTGTTTACCGTGAAAATGGTAATAACAATTAAATTTATTGATGGGACTCTAAAATATGTGATCTATGTTTATGCTAGTTGTTAAGCAGATGATGCTATGTGTATGAAGTTTAGAGACGAAGTACGGGCTAAAAATGAGATGATAGTCAAACCAAGAGGCTAACAATCGAGACCTCGAGCTCGTCGATATGAGGTCCTTGGGGCCAATTCAGTGGCTCGATAATGAGCTATCGGGGGCGATCGGGGTATGACTAACAGCTATGCCAAAATTAATAAAGGCTTTTTATGGCAAATGATAAGCAATAAATGATGAGCAAGTATGAAGATAATAAATGAAAGCAATAATAACAAGAAAGTATATTAGAAAGCAGAGAGAATGTTCTTCATATATTCGTGTGGAGTAACTGG